TTTTAAAATACAGGAGAATTTTATGGTGTTCGTTTTTTGTGTCGGTTATTGTATTATTTCATAGATTATCAATACAAATAAAAATATATATGAAAATCACTAACAGTTGTCGTGCACATCATTAAAATATGTGAATGCACGTCCTAATGTTGTACAGTTACTATTTTTACTTCGACTTTTGACAAGGGTTAAATAAAATTCGTAATGTTTCAGACATTTCAAATCAATTTTAGACACAATATAATATGTATATACAATTTTTTTATATCTAAATTATTACTTTGTCTATGGTTATTACACAAACAAAATTCTAATTAATAAGTTATTAGCAAGTTTCCTGAATGAAAGCCAAAAAATGTTTGATTAACATTAGTCCTCTCTTTTTGTGAGATTCTACTACTAGTCTTAAACTGATATTGAGAACAGCTAAAACATGCTGAAAGATCTAAGTATTTTCAGTAAAAGCTGCAAAACTTAAGTAACAATATCGATTTTTACCTTTCTATGCAGTTTAACAGCTAAAAAGGGCTCGCTGTGTACTCTCTCTTGTTCAAAATAATTGAGTAGAGATGAGACAAATTACTGATTCAGAGTATTTATTGCAATTACAGCGTTTTATTGCAACGAAGATCAAAGTTTTAACTAAATAAAACGCAAATTTAACTTCAAGTTTGTCAAAGAATAAAATTGAAACTGACAGTCAGATTAGAAAAAATTAACAAAATCCAATATCGGATAAAAATGACCAATATCAGATTTGCAAAGAAGATTCTTATGACAACAGACGGTATTTGCCATGACTACCAACATAAAGCCTTTTTTATCAGCTAATTTGTTTACTTGATGGGACAGTGTGCTGTTTTTTTAAGTTTCAAACAAAATTTTATTTATTCGAGATTTAATTTAGCAATAGTTTCGAAGTCTATGACGTGCATGCCAACTTTTATTGTATTCTCTTTATGTTATACCTCTCTTAAAGCTTCTCTTAATTCGTTAAGGCCTCCGGCAAAAGATAACGTTGGCGTCTTGCTAGCTCCCGGTTTATCGGACAGAAATTCAAACTCCTCACTTGTCGGCAATGATTCAATTGATTCTGCACTCAAAGTATCCTCCATAACGATCTGTAAAAATAATATTTATGTTATAAACATCTACACAATATGTAATGGATAATCCATACAATATGTAATTCTGCATTTTATCGGTTTAATGCCGCCTTATAATATAAATAAAATACAATAAAAAAAGCTCATAAAATATGCTATAAATACAAGGAGCTTTTAACATTTAACACACTGTCAACATTGTGATCAACATAGCAAGACCAAAAATTCGATTAATTCGAACAAGCACTTACTCAAAACTGTAAACTATTATATTTTGTGTAAATATAAAAATGTATTTTCCTCTAGCATCTTCGTCTATTTACATCGGTGTTGGTTGTTTAAATATTCTCGTTTTTGTTGTTTTCTTTAGCAGAAAATTACCAACCAAATTTTGACTTTTGACAAAATCTAAAACAAAACGTCAATCAGAGTCTAGTGTTGGGCAATGTCGATCGATGTTTTTTATCGCCAGCGGTGTTCATTGTTTTAACATCGATGCGGACCGTTTTAACGTTTTTTTTCAGTTTTGAATAGTTGCGATGGTATTAAATTTTGAATTGAAAAACAATAGTTAGCCATAGAAACTTGTACTACATTAGGTCGTCAACACGTGTTTAGGTCTTTGTTTTTCACGTTTATTTTAAAGAATCACTAAATATGAGTAAGATTTTTTGTTAAAAAATGCTTGAAATTTTCGTTGCCTCTTCTATTTTCTCCACGTGTCTCTAGATATCTAGAATTATAATCTAAACTTCTCCTCAATTTTATTTGCCCCATTTTGATTCTATTGAGAGACTCCAAATTTAAAAATAGAACTATATACAATTTTGTAAACAGCAAAAAATATAACGTATTCTCAACAATGCCAATACTGAACAATTCGCATAAAAAATTAAATAAATATCTTAAATTCAATTTATGGAGACAATAGACAAGGGGTTATACCGACAAGGGATTATTTCACGTTTTTCTCACAGAATATCATAGTTATTTTGATAAATTTTAAATTGAGTAGTACGAAAATTATTTAAAATTTATCATTGTTTATTAAATATAAGTAGCAATTTTGTTTATATCTTATATATTAACACCTACCTTGAAAACACCGGGACCAAATTTCAATGGTATGCTACTGGTAAGTTTTCTATCGGACTGGCAAATGCAATGCAAATAAATAGACAGACAAAGAAAAGATGAAAGATGGAAGACCGGAAGACACCTGTTTTAGGG